GCGCAGCAGACCTCTCCTGTCTTGTCCCCTGCTTCCCTCAGCAGCGTATACCAGCAGATCTGCCTGTTCTGCTTCCTGGTCTGTCTCTCATGAATTTTCTCACCCACCACACCTCTGGCCAACACCCCAGCTCTTGTATATATATATATAAATTAATAAAAAATTAGGCTGAGATCTCCCACAAGCCTAGCTATGGAGGGGATCTCAGCCTCTTCCTGAGTCTGTCGCCAAGGCCTTATTTCCATCAGACCCCTGATCCAGTTCCCCCTTGATCTCAGACTTTCCAGGAGAGGCAGGAACCATGCTTCTGCCTTTCTCCTCTCTGGGAGTTTCCCCAGGTGAGCAGGGGTTGCTGGAGGCGGGGTACAGGCAAAGAAGCGCGGGGGGAAGTCCTCTCCTGGGGCCAGCTGCAGACCGAGGCGCCGGTGGGCGACCTGGCTTCCTCTCTGGGGGCGCCCCACCGCCTCGTTTGACCACCAATTGCGCGGGTGCTCACCGGTGGGCTGGCACTGCCTGTGGTCGTCCCCTAGGCGGTAGCCGGGCGCGCAGTGGCAGCGGCGTCCCTCCGCCTCTTCCAGGCAGTAGTGCGCGCAGCCGCCATTGTCCACCGAGCAGTTGGAGAAGTTCACCTCTGCCAGACAGGGAGCGCCCCGGGGCACCGCGGCTTGGGCAACCGCCCGCGCGTCACGGCTGCCCGAGACCCACGCCCCGCGCCCAGGCCACCGGGCCGTGCCCCCCAACTCCCTCACCGTGCAAGCAGTAGCGGCCCTCCCAACCCTGGCCGCAGTCACAAGTGAAGGAGCCCAGGCCATCGATGCACTTGCCATGCCCGCAGCAGGGGGTGTCGCAAGGGTGTTCCGGGGGCGCAGCCGAACACTGGTCCTCGTCTGCGGCGGGATGTGGGGCAGTGTCACAGTCCCCTCCCTGTCCCCACCTAGGCCCAGAGACCACCAAGGGGCCGACCCCCTGCCAGATGTGGAGAGTACACTCACCGTGGTACTTGTACCAGAAGGCCAGCTGGGGAGAGAAGGGGAAGGTCAGGGACCATTTTCCACGTGTGCATATGGAGACCCTCGCCCCCCACAACCTCCCAGTGTGACCTGGGTGGACAGGGAAGCCTCCAAGTGGGCAGGGAGAGGGAGTGACTTCCAATGCCTCCTTGTAGCCTCTGGCAAGTAGAACTGCCCCACCAGCCTGCCCACTGACCTCCTTGCCCTTCTGCTGCCTCTCTCTACCTGGCATCCCTTAAAAATGCCCCACCCGGTGTGACCAGAAGACTGTTGTCTAGAGTGTGTGCTCTCAGAAGCCTCTTCACTGGAGGGGATCCAATCTTCTAACCCCTGTTACTTCTCCTGGCTCTTCCTACATCTCAGTTCAGACAGCTGGGCTTCTCTAAATCAGAGTTTCCCAGAGGAGCCTGCACCAGGACCATGTGGGGAGACACTGAGTGTGGCTTCAGAAGGTGTTTGTTGGTGCTGAGAGTGGAGCTAGTGGTCTGAGACCACACCTCAATCTCCACTGCTGGGTGCCTGGCACATCTAGCTGTCCCCTGCTGGCAGGGGAGACCTTGGGTAAGGAGGTAGAGTCATTGCAGGGCCTTGAAATGCTCTGATTTTGTGCCTGCCAAAAATTGTTTTGGCATCTGAGGCCACTTGGAAAAGGAGGCAGTGGGGATCTAGTCAAGGAGGTGTTGGGTAAGGACAAGAGAAGGAGCAGAATGGGGGCTCTGCCACATCTTGAAAGCTGGAACTTGAAGAGGGTCCCTCAAAGCAGCCTGAAGGCACCCCTAGGGGATGGCACATCTAGGTACTAGTAGCTTAGGCGAGACCTTGGGTTTAGAAGGGATCTGAGCCTCATATCAGGAAGCTGCTTCCCTTAACAAGTCCTTCCTACCACCCTAGGGTCACCACCACAGAACCCTAGACACCAGGAGACACCTGAGCTAAGGAGTTTTAGTTGTGAGTCACATATGTCCTGACCACGACCACCCGGCCAGCATCCCATTCATCCCACTCATGGATGCCCTCCTTGTACCCCACCCTGGCAAACTGGAAGGAGAGAGGTTGGGCTTCCCTGACTCTCTGGGCCTCAGCATCAATTGACACCAGCCTAGAGAAGCCTTACTGTGTCATCCACATTTTGGAAAACCTCGAGGGCTTCCTCGAAATCACAGATCTCTTCCATGCACTCCCTCTCCAGGCTGCTGGCCCGGAGCTCCTCCAGGAAGGTGTTGGCACGTTTGCGGATCCGCAGCACCTGGTGGGCACGCTCGCTGCTGGAGAACACCAGTTCTGGAGGGCAAAGGGCAGGAAAGGGAGGCTCACTTTGGTAGAGAGGTCTGAGGTGAGGGAGAGTCTGGGCTATTTAGGACATATATTCCAGGTTGCAACACTCCTCTTGGCTCCTCTGGCCTCTTCTTCCAGCCATAAGACTTGTCTGTTTAGATCCTCCTCTGAAACTACCCAACCGTGTGATCTTGAGCCCATGTCTTTACTACTCTAAACCTCTGAAAATGAGGACAAGATCCTCGTGTAAGCACTTAGTACAGCCCCTGGCACAGAAACGAGCACCAGTTCTGGCGCTGGTGTTGTAACAAGCCTTCACCTTGTTCCTCCTTCCCTCCTCCTTACACTAGCACTTCCCCTCCCGATTTTCCCTTGGGCAGGTGCTCCTGGAAAACAGCCCTCCTACTACTCAGGGATCAGCACCAGATTTTACCTGGAATCTGAAAGGTGTTTCTTGGGGATAGAGGGAGAGCTAGAATGGCAAGACCATGGAGGGGTGGGAGGAGGTGAACAAGAGAGGTTTGAGTGGAGAGAGAAAGGGTTAGGGAAGTTATCCTCCAGGAAGGGAAGGTATGGGAGTGCTGAGTCTGGATGGATGAACCAAATATCTGCAGCTTGGGGATGGGGAGGGCACTGCTGGGAGACAGCTGAAGGAGAGATTCCCCCCCTCGGAGAAAGTAGCACTTCATAACTCCTGGGGGCCTCCCTGGGGAACTGGGCCTCCTCTTGGCTGTGGGGACCAGGGCAGCCAGCAGGGCAGAAGCACCACAGAAGTGTGTTTAGCAAGAGAGCCTGCCTGGGCCAGTCAGGAGAGGCTGCCCAGGCCCGATGGGTATGACCTATGTCCGAGCCTTTCATAGCAAGGGAAAGAAGGGGTGACAGGGAAGGCCCCAGGGACTAACTCTGTAACCACCCCCCATCACTATAGTTCTCAGTCCTCCCAACCCCTGGGGGTCACACTGTGTTCACACAGGTGACCTTCAAGGGACTCCTGGGTTGATTCATCTACTTCTCTCTCATGATACCTCCAGGTTCAGAGGAAGTGGTAGAAAGGATCAATACCAGGTGGTGACAGAGATGGCCATGTAAAGGCCCCAAGTGTTCCAAGAAGGATTGTGTGGGCTTACCAGAAGGAGCCGGTGTGCCGGAAGTCCCCCACGTGGTCACGAAAAGGAAGAGGCCCATGAGCTGCCACATTCTGGAGTTGCTGACACCTGTCTGAGGGGGGCTTCTGAGATTCTGCAGCTGCATCAGCCCTTGTTTGGCTTGCCACCCCACAGCCCCCCAGATGGAACGAAAGAGCCTCTCATGTGTGCTTTTGTGAGAGCAAAAGCTGGAGTGGGTTGGGGGGTGGGGGAGAGGTCCCTATTTACTAGACAGTCACCTGGTGGCTCAGCCTCCTTTACTCTATCAGCTAAGGTCACACCACTTGCGGAGTCTGACAGATGGAAAGGGTCTGGAGAACTCAGCAGGAAGGCATGGCAGATGTACCCAGAATGTTCATGCCCTTCCTTCTGTGAGAGGAGGAGTAATGCCTTTACTGATCTAAGGCCAGGCTAAGAGTAACAGCTAATGTCATTGGACACTCCTGGTGTCTTTCAATTTGTAGTTCAGAGGGCAGGTCATCAAGTGAAATGACCTGGGGAGAAGCCCTGCCTCAGAGCAACCACCTTGGGCAGAAAACTTCAGTGTTCCATGCCTCAGTTGCTTCATTTGTAAAGTGTGTATAATCACTGTATTTTTACCTCAGGGTAACTGTGAGAACTAAATGAATTAATCCATAGAAATCTCTTAAAATAAGGTAAGCACATAGTTCAAGTCTAGTTAACAACCTTGAGCTAATAGGTAGTCATGAATGTTGTCACCTCATTTAAGAGCAGGACATTGAGGCTTAGAGTTGTTAAGTGACTTTTCGGAAAAAAACAAAATATAAACAAAAACAACCAACCAGGAGGTAGCATAGCTACCTTACTATTGTGGCTCCAGATCCAGAACCATAAGCCCCACCCAAACCACTGGCTGTCCCTCCAAACCATAAAAGTAGCCTTGTCACCAGAAACCTAGGGTCCCCCTAGGTCTACCTGCCCTATCTGCATTCAACTCACCTCCCCTTCCGCCTTTGCTGACTCCCTCTGAGACAGATTCTGATGTCTGTTTAAGTCAGACACCGCAAATATAGAAGTGGGGGTATGGTGGGGTCAACAGAGGGCCCCGGTGATAGTCCAAACTGCCTCTGATAATAGTTCAAGGCTGGAGGCCTTCAGACAGCTCTGAAGTTCTTCACAGCCTCGAAGTCTGAGAAGAAGGAGGCAGGTAGGAGCAGTCCCCTTAAAACTGTGCCACCGGGGACTAGTGGCAGAGCCCTGATTTCCTGCTACCCCAAACTCCAGCCAGCCTCTTGAAGCCTGGCTGGAGCACCCAACCCCACCCCTGCTCAGCCCTCATCATGGACCTACTTTGAAGGGGACTTACTGAGGTAGATCATGGAGAAACGGCAAGGTCGCCCTCCTGCCTCCATGACCGCTGGAACTCAAGTTAATCCATAACCACAAATATTTACTTGGCCCTTGGTGCTGAGGCCACCCCCTCCACAGATAAACAAGCTTGTTCCCAGCTCTGGACAGCTCTATTTGCCAAAAGCCCACCTCTGCCCACCCGTGGTGAAAAACAATTCTCAAAATGTGGTCTTGTTTGAGACTTGTACTGGCTGGCCAAAGACAGACAATATCCTCATTTTGTGACTGGGATATTTTTGTCTAGATCAGGACAACGGATAATACTTGCCATATTTCAACAAATTCAGGAGGTCATTAACAATAAAATGCACCTATCTAATGTACCAGAATGAAAAAAAACACTGCCGGTCACACAATGACATTCCACCCCAATTTCTGATTTCCTAATGTGAGACATGAGAAGTTCTGCCTCTCCAGGGTTCCCACATGTGGTGTCAGGCCCTTGTCGGGTCCACAGCTCCCATCATTTCAGCCTCTACCCCTCACAAAGCTATACCTAGCTACTCCTAGAACCCCCATTTTGCAGATGAATACACTCAGAAATCTTTTGTTACTTGCCCAAATTCACCAAATAGGTAAGCGGCAATCCTGGTAGAACTTGGGTCTTCCTTATACCCCTTGGCCTCTTTTGAGAACAAGGGAGTAAAACAAAAACAACAACAAAAACACACTGGATTCCCAAAAGGCTGCCATCAGGTGGTAACAGGAGAGCTGGAAAGGAGGGCTGACGAAAAGGTCTGACTTCAAGTCTTTGCTGGGGATGTCTGACAGTCAATATTATTAAGGGTCTTTTTTCCAGCTTACCCCCACAGGAAGGGGTGGAATTTCCTATACACCCTCCCCCTTCTTTGAGGATTTAACCACACTCCTGAAAGTCATAGCCTCACACCATCAAGTGACCCTGCTATGCTGGCCTCTGGTGGTCACACAGGGACATTGTCTGAACCCAGGGTCCCAAAGATTCCCTCAGCCCCTAGGCCACGGAGATCTTATTCCACAAAGCACTGGACACATTGCACATTTGAGATGAATGCAGAGGAAGCTGAGAACAAAAATTCAGACATTCAGGGAGGCTGAGGCTCGAGACTGCAAAGCCCTGAATAATTTAAGGTCCTTGCCTCAAAATAACAAGGGCATATCCCAGCTGTGTGTACATTGAAGGTCCCCATAACCTCCTAAATTACATCTTTCCTTCAGTTTCTTTGTCATTTGGAGCATCTTAGATTCTTTGAAACTAAATGCCTCCTTCTAAGGTAAAACCTTATATCCAGGCTGTAGAGGTACCAGGCCCCATGCTGCTCGCAAAGCCTGCTTGAGAAGGCAAGAGGAACAGGTTAAAGTCTAACAAAGACAGGCCCTTGGGGCAGAGGCCCCATTGCAGGTACAGATTGCAATGCTTAGGGAATTTAGAGAAGGAAATTAGCACAACTTGGGGTGGTCAGGGAAAGCTGCCTGGAGAAAGTGAAATTTAAGTGAGGGGCCCAAACACCGTTTGAGGCACAAGAGAAAAGGGAGGGAGACATATTGGTAGTACAAAGAAGAGGGGGTTGTAATGGAGCCCTTGGGAAGAGGGAGAAGGACAGTGACTGTGAGGGTCTGTGGCAGTAGAACAGGAGATCAAGTATGGAAGACTCAAGCGGGGGTCATACAGACCCCAGGTAAGATCACAGAAAAGGGGTGGCTTGTGGAGTTGAGGAACTTGTAAAAATGCCTCTTGCACCCACCATCATGTCCACGTTCCTCCCCACAACCAATAGTCCCCACAGTCTGCAAAGTTATTGCTCTGAGAGTTCCCAACCTCCACTTTACTGTCTACCAGTGTGAGGCGCAATGGTTCCCCTAGGCTGCCAGTCCCCTTCCTCACCAAACTCCTCTTGGGCACATCCTCCTGTCCCCACCCCCAAGTCCATTGCTGGCGGTCAGTTCCCTGTGAAGTTGATGAAAAGCCACAAGTGACTAAAAACTTGAACGAGGACCTCTGCCGGAGGCACCCACCTCCAAACCTGCCTAGAGCTCCAAAGTGCCAGCACAGGTCAGGTGTGTCCCTCTGCAGAGCTGACCAGGCTTGCTGGCACGCTGGGAATTGCAGTCGGGGCTGGGACCTCTCCTTCACTGGTAGTGCTGGAGATCTGTGTCACCCCTCCCCTTTTGGAGCAGGGGCGGTCCCTGGCATCAGCTTTCCAAAATTCTGCCAGCTGAAGAGTCTGCTGTCATCTGTAAAGTAGCAGGAACTGGGTGCCTCTGCTCATTTGCCAAGGCTTCCAGCAGATAGCTTGGCTCTGGCCTAGTAAGGTTTAAGCTGAGCCTCACCTGGCTTGGTGGGCCTGCTGATAGCCTTGGCTAAGTGAGATGTCCTTCCTCCAGTATGAGTAACTGAATCAGATGAGTGACTGAATCCAGTAAGGCTAGAGCAGGACTCTATGAGTGGTAGGAAGGAGGGGTGTTTGTGTGCAGGGAATTCACTATAGGCAAAGGAATGAAAACAAAGCCTCCTGAGGAAAAAATACACACACACACACACACACAGACAGAAGGGCAAAACTGTAGAGGTAACTAGCAAAGGAGGTATGAAAACTTCATCTTTTGGGTCAGCCTGGCATGGATGTAAACCTGTATTTGGCTCCTTCCTGACTGAAACTCATGTGTGCATCTGTAAAGCAGGGCCAAGAATACCATCTACTCCAGGGAATGGTTGTGAGGATTAAGAATTTTCTATGAAGTGGACAGGACATGAGACTTCACAAGGGTTCAATCAATTTTGTTTCTGAGCTCCCCAAGCTTCCTAGAGAGAAGGCAAGGTAGCACCTGAAGTTTTGCTTGTATCTAAGTGTGGTAAAAATGAGTGTTACCTTTCTAAATGCCTGTGAAGGTCCACAGAGGTGGACTAGGAGGGGAAGAGAGGACAGGACAGCTGCCCTCAGTGTGGCGGCATAACAGCCACTGGTTCACAGAATCAAACTGGTGCTAATAATCTCTTGGGTCTGGGTGTTTTCTTACCTGGTATTGGTAGTAATGCCAGAATCCAAACTGAGCTCCTTTCCTAACTGGAGTGGTTGGAGGTGTGCAGGGTTTGGGATTGCCAGGACTACCTTATTTCTTCACATGCTTGCTCCCCTGTGATATTCTCTATTCTCTGTGGCATGTTCAAGGATTACCCCAGTTGAGGCAGGTAGAATTCCCTAAGGAATTACTCATTAGAAAGTATAGATGTATAACAGCAGTCCAATGTCATCAGCATAAGACACTTTGACTCATTTTTTTTGTATTTTTTAAAGACTTATTTATTTATGCATATAAAAACTGGGGCACAGGCCAGAGGTGTAGAGGCAGTGAGAGGATTCACCAGAGACAGAATGGGGAGCAGAACAGACAGATTGATGAATACACTGCTGAAGGGAACAAAGGGCGAGACGGGAGAGGTCAACTGTGCTATGTGGGTCACCTCTCTGCCTGGGGATTGAACTCGCACTGAAACAGCTTTGGCTAGCCTCGCATTGTTGTGCTTTAACCTATTGTGCCACAAGGGAGGATCCTGTATTTTATATATATATATAAAGGTAACATTGATTTCTAACACTGCATTTGATTCAGAAGTGCAGGTTCATACCTCTTCAGATACAAGCTACCACAATATGCCCACCACCAAGGTAACTCAAGTCCTCCACCATAAGCCATTGGGCCCCATCCCCAATTTGC